CTGAAGAAAGGTCTGATGTAACAAAGCTTTTACTTCGACAATGACGCAAAATCGGCAGTTCTGAACTGGTTCCACGATCAACCGACATCGTTCTTCGTGGACGGAATTCATAAACTTCCTTAGTATTGAGTGAGTGAATATTAATATCACACTGTTCAGCTACACTAGGGCTTTTGGCGACGGACCACTGTCATGGTCAAGTGACGTAGACGACACCTGAGCTGGCATCCCCTTCTCCTAACTAACAAACCAGACCAACGGGAGGACGTTTCAGCGCTCGACAGATTTAACGTGCATCGCTGCCGTACACGGCGGGTATTTAGTGGTACTGGGTTCTAACTCATGAAATGCCTGACATGATCCAATACCTTGACCACTGGGCTACCGCAGCCCTTCTTAACAATGAGATGCCTGCCTAAAAGTGAAGGGTGATTTATTTTAACAAACTTTGTTTGCGTTCCCTTCATTGATACTGTTGTTTTTGTCTATGTATCTCTCAATGCTATCCCTACGCACCTCAAGGATACACAGCTGCAATCACTTTCATTTGAACATCCCTCACACACACACACACATATATATATAAGCAGTTGTGACATGAAATCCTGAACAGATTAAATTAGTTGCCTAGTTATTATGTTTGGCTTTACTTTTCCCCAGGAAATTATCGTGATATCTTAACTATTGTTATTCATGTTGATTTCAAATATGTTTTCAGAATTTATATAAAGTTATTATTCAATTCCTACTATTAACTTACGCTCTCTATATATTTATTTATTTATCTTGGTGGAATTTTCAATCGTTAATAAAATACATTTTAAAGCGCTCAATTGAGCTGAAATTTTATATACACGATTATTTTGGATGACAATACAGTATAATTTAATTACAATTAATAACAATTAATTAATTAAAACTAATTACTCAACGGATTACAAATAGAGCCAAGTTGGAATCATTTTAGGCGACTTAGTGACCATTTTGGCGACTTGTGTAAAAACATGAAAAGGTTTTTTTCTCACATTTTAAAGCGCTCGTTTGAGCTGCAGCCTTCTATACGCTATTGTTTTGGGTAAAAATATGATAATTTAATTACAATTAATTAAAATTAATTGACTGAAGTTAATTATTTAAATAATTACAAATACATCCACGTTGGTTTCATTTTAGCGACTTGGGACAAAACCTTAAGAGATTTTTTTTTTTCTCACGTTTTAAAGCATTCAGTTGAACTGAAATTTTATATACACTATTGTTTTGGATGGCAGAACGATACTTTAATGATAATTAATAAAAATTAAATACCACTTAATGTGTATTGTTGTCATATGTATATACATATTTATATTAATTGTAACTATTTAATAAAAAGTAGCTAAAATAAAAATTTACTTTGTTGATCTAAGTAGGGATTGACTTAATTTTTTATATATATATATTACTTGTTTTACTTAATGTTTTGAAAAACATGATAACAAGACAAGCGCAAGCCAACTGTAACAATATGTCGTTGTTTTATCAACCAATGAAATGTTCCATTATTCCAACCAATTAGATGTTAGAAGCAAAAAAGGGTTGAAAATAGAATGTGCAGCATGTTTTATTCTATTAAAAATTAATGTCTGTTGTAATATGAAGTTAATGGGTGGATAATACTGGAATAATGGATAAATTTTACTTTCTGCATTATAATGAAAGATGGAATTTCTGAAGACAGTTTATTTTAATAGCATCTTAATGTATTAGAAAAGTTTGAGAAATATCTTTAACTAGTAATGACGGATATAATAACACTTTTAAAACAATGTGTACTGATATTTAACGTCCAATGTACGTGCAAAAATGAACATTTAGAAGACAAATTGTTCGGGGGAAAATGAGTAATTCAAGCAACTGGACACAATTTCATAAAACTTTCAAATTCTATTTCAAATTCATTTCTTTTTTTCTGTTTTACCTCTCGATATGATCATGATGTTTATTTACCTGAAAAAAATTTAATAATCAACATATTCTATGCAGGTATTCTGAGAAATAAGAAAAAAAAATTACATACTTTTGATAGTGTTTTCATTTTGCTGCATTACGCTATTTATTTTTTTTAATTTCCTTATTTAAATTACATATGAGTAATGAAACATTTATGTGGGAATCCAACCGAAATCTTCCAAAAAGATTGGATTCTTCAGATGGCGGGGTTTTTATGGCGTGGTGTCTAGGGGTTTTAGGGTGTGTTAGTTAATTTCGAAATAAAATAGACAACATAGTTCAAGAAAGAAACTAGTTTAAAACTAAATAATTTATTAAGAATTATAGGGGAGTATTTACATGGGGAATATTTCAAAATAATAGGAAAGTTAGATAAGCATATTTCGGAAGAATAGGAAAGTTAGATCACATTACTTTAAGGGAGGCAATTGAGATTAAATAGAATTCATTATGGTGCTATTAAGACTTACAGCCTGGCGCGGACGAATGATAGAACTCGTTATGGTACTATTAAGATTTACCGCCTGGCGCGGACGAAAGTGCGCTGACGCGCGAAGCACGACTTCTCTCGACGAATGTTAGTGGGCCTCTGGCGAAAAAGGTTCATGTCGGCGTTTTTAAAAAGGACACTAGATGGCGTTGATGTTGAATACTGTTTTGATTAGAATTGCCGACCTCGGTAAATGTGATATGATCTAACTTCTTACAAATGGAATATCCTACATTTATGTGCTGTTTTCTACCTGCAGAATAAAACGATTAAACCAACAAAATATTTGAGGCAAAGCAAATTTACTGACTCCTTTCTGAGATAATATTTTCTATAAAATATCAAGTTCATAAAAACATTATGATAGAAGTTAAATTGGGTTTTAAGTAAGAATCAAAATGTTGAAAATATAGATAGTCAATTAGCACTCCAAAAAGCGCAAGAGGGGTTTATGGGCAACAACAATGGGTTTATAAAATGATACATTTTTTGCGTAAACCCTTTTTTAGGCTCCGAATCTCTCAGATGCATACTAAAAGTAGTTTTGGTGCTGCGATTACACGGTGGGTTGGAACACTTCCCTCCTTCTTCTATCTGACTTTTGTCACTCATTCTAGGATTCAGTGTCAAGGGCGAAGGTAATTTCTTCATATTTTGTGCGGCGGGGGCCATTGAATCTGATAGATACAGTGGGCTCAACAATGTCATTTTTTTTTACTTTGCACTATTTCATTAATTTGGATTTTTTCTTTTAGAATAGTGTATTTTTCAACTTTATACGCAAATAATTCGATGGAAGTATTTTGTAACTTCTGTACGGTAGCATGGATGCCGCACGCCTAGTCAATGACTATATTTTATTCAAACCTCAATGTAGCTGGAATAAAACTCCCAAAATACTTATATAGGAATCAAATTCACTCAGATCCTCATGCACATATCTAGGAAAACTAGGTCACGAACTTTTGAAAAAGCATTTAGAAAACGGGATGAGTGTAACATTGACATGCCTCTTTCATTTTGACTCAGGATGGAAGAAACTTCTTATATACAACGCCCCATTTTAGACGAAGAACCAAGAACAAACATCACCAGAAACTTGAAAAAGAAGGTACTGTTCCCTCTGATCAGACATCAAGAAAATATTAAAATTGTTTAATGTATTATGAAAAATCCATGGGCATTGAAGATTGTAAGGGGATTTGCTAAGACAGCAACAAGGTATCTTAAAATGCAAACAGTGGTGACACAGTGATAACTAACCATTATCTCTATGATGTTTCTTTTTTTCCGTTTAAATATATCTATTTCTTATTCTATTTTAAATATCATTTTATATCAAATATATTTTAATGTCAAATCTCATCAATAACATGATTAAATCATGTTCAAACGTCTGTATAAGGTGCCACGCCTAGCGGAGCGTTAACGATAGTTAGCATTTCATTAAAATTTATATCATCTACATCTTACAATTAACTGCGTGAGTTCCATCCATTAGTTCAAATTTTTCAGATAATATTATAAATTTAAAAATTTTGTATCCTTTATAAGTCATTACTAACTTTTCTAATTCGCAGTTTTTCTTTTAATAATTACTTTAAATAAATGAATTGTTGCAATAGTTGCGGAAAATTTCTAATACTTTTATTATTATTATTTGTAGCGAAATTATGTAATGCGACTGCAGAATTCCATGCATGTCTACCGTAGATAACGCATAAAACAATTAATAAATCACAAAACTATTATTAGAATAGTTATTAAAGAAAAAAAAGTATTTTATTTCATTCTCTAAGTACCATCATATTTTATCTCAGTTTTACCAGACGTACCTTGTACATAATAAACACAAGAAATAAAATTGTTAATTCATGCAGTACTGATTTAATAATGCCATTTCAATAAATTTAAATTATTTCTAGCATATAGAATTTAACAAAAGAATCGCTAATTTCATAGATCATAAAATCTGAGCAAATCTATTCATATCTTCTTGTGCCATATTATATTTATTACATTCTGCTTTTTTTTATTTATCCTAACTATGAGAATTCTTGTTGTCTTATAAGGGTAGGATGAAACATATAAATAACATATGCATGATTCAATTACTTTACTTTTCCAGCAAATAAAATAGATAATCATTTTTCTTATTAATATAAAAACAAAACTGTTG